AATCCCCGCACTTCAAGGGCGGGGTTTCGGCTGTGGACTTCGGTCCCCTCCGGCTCCCAGCGGTTCCGACGAGCAGCCGTCACGTGACCTTGCCAGAATCCACTGTCATAAATCTGTCGTTCGGCAGTCGCAGGTTTCGCCGAGCAAGGAGTCGAAATCTCATAATCACCCTTTAGCTTACTTAAATCTATAAATTACATATTAAAAGACTCTCTTCAACATATTGCATGGTCATGGCCATATGCACTGGTTTCCAAAACTTAAAACACATTGAACATCCGTGATATGACGAACACCATGTAAATGTTGTGGATGAACTAGCCATAAAGGTGTCGTTGGATGTCGACCGGACGATCCCCGCCAACGATTGCAATCCGGAAGACGCAATATGCATTGTTACACGATGCCGCAGGGGTCCAAAGCGACGCCTATTTGGGTCAATCGGGTTCTTTTCCGATTGGCCAGGCCCGCTTCCAAGAACACGGAAGGAGGTCCGACAGGAAATTCGGGAAGTTCTAAAGGGGCGGAGCCCGTTCTGCACCTCGCCGTTACAAAAACTCGGATTGAAAATCATCGCCTTCGTTCAGGTCGTGCCTCGGATCGAGGCGAATTATATGAGGACTCACCTTCCTGAGGCAGCACAGTCTCACAGTTGGACACTGGTGGCTTATGTCTCATTTCAAACCTAATCCAAAACTAGCTCTAATTTTAATTATAATTCATGTATGCATGCTTACTGTCTTTCTCCCGACGGTTCCCTTCCAATTTACAGCGAGCGGGGAGCTAGCATTTCAATTTCCATATCGATCTCCCAAGACAAGTTGGACAAGTGTCCGGATTTGGCACTGGTGAAGACTCACCACAGTGAAAAGCCCATCCAAGCGATCTAGATTGATTCGAAGAGGGTTCGAATCCTTTTTCACCCATGAGGTGAATGGAGTTTCAGCAAAGAGGTTTCAGCAAAGGGGTTTCAGCAAAGGGGTTTCAGCAATTGAGTTTCAGCAATCATTTCCTTTAGACGCCATAAAGTCTGCTTTTTGTGTGACGTCCTCAGAGAATTCAAGGTCGTGGGGGATTTTTACTCCTAGGTTACTTCAGAGAATCAGAACCAACACAACGTGGAATACTAAGACGAGGACATAGCATTAAAAAGAACAGGCTTAAATGCGCCAAGGGAGAGAAATGATCGCTGAAACTTAATTGCTGAAAATTAATGCACATCGTGCGCGAAATAGGTACATTCCATGCATCAGCTTTCAATCATTCGTTTTTCCCTCCAACAACCTATACTCATGAAACTTTCAGGAAACAGAAAACTCTTTTCGCTCATATAACAATTACAATTTTCCTGATTTCATTTACTTATTCAATCGCATAGCTTTTCTACGAGCACCAGCACCTCCTCGAGCACCTCCAGGAAGAATTCGCGGAGAATCGTTCCCTGCTGCTCACTCCTGCAGCGAAACCTCCGACTGATGCGAAGAGCCTTCCCGGCGGAAGTGGGAAGGGCCGTTGGTGGGATCGGGAGGGGGAGGAAGGGGGAGGAAGGGGGAGGAAGGGGGAGCAAGGGGGAGGAAGGGGGAGCAAGGGGGAGGAAGGGGAGGAAAGTCATGTGAGCTTTAAGACTTGCCTTTCTGATTCCTTCCGCTTTAAAAAAAAATATGTTCCCCTCTCGCCCGGTTGGGAAGAAAGGAATTGAGTTGTAGAAACTACGTCACGCAGAATGATAAGAACGAGTAAACAAGTATATGTGGTAAGAAGGCCTTCACGTCCGCATTTCCCTCTTATTCATGGCGCTTTCCAGCAATTTTTTTTATTACTGGGGAGATATGTGAGTGCCGCCCGGGACGCTTCGGAATCTCGATCAGAGATTTTGTAATTGAATTTCTGAAAAATGAATTCGCAGAAATTGTCGAAATCTTCCCGGAACCCAACAATAATTGACGTCGACATTGCCTAGCGATGGGAAGAACAGTTGCATGAAGAAAGTATGTGGAATGATGACCTTCGATGATGACCTTAGATGATGACCTTGAGATCTCAGGTTGCATCTTGCAGCCTAAACGACATATTTTATCCAGATAAGGCGAGGCGCAAAAAATGAAAATCTCGATTTTTTTTAGTCGGATGATGATGACCTATACACGAGGGGCATCTCATGGTTGTGTGTCATGGTTGTGCGTCTTGCGTGTGCACATTAAATGTGTTGATATAATTTGTACGGTGTATATGGCCGTTTTCTCTTTACGCCCGAGCAGAATAGCACTAAACGTTTCAGAAACGTTTCAGGGAACCATATAGCTTTTATAGGGAACCCTAATGGTTCTATAGGGAACCCTCTTGGTTCTATAGGGGGATCTATAGGTTCTAAGGGGAACTCTATAGGTCCCAAACTGAACTCTCTGGGGCATATAGGATCCTAAAGGATTCCTATAGGATTCCTATATATTCCTAAAGGAATATATAGGAATCCTATAAGACATTTTCGTAAGGGATTTCAACATTCCGAACCAGGGTGTGCCAGTTGAACATGCCATGTCAAGGCTTGAAGGTTCCGTGGATGATTTCTTGGGGGAGTGGGGACTTCTATAAGGATTTGTTTTTGCTACAGCCAGTTGGAGATCCACAGAAAGCTGGATCTTGCAATGAACACGTCTACTCCTGCCACCCTCGAGGACATTTTCGTGGTTGGGGAGTGGGTAACCTTGCATTCGCATTTGCAACCTTGCATTCGCATCTGCAACCTTACACATTTTCGCTCAAAGAATCATGAATAACCGTTTTCCAGTAGAGAACTATACTAGAGAAAAACACTTAAGGGGACATTTCGCGAGACAGTCTCCGCTCTCTTCACGTTGGTAGCATGGGACTGGCAATGACTTCTCACAACCCGGAGTAATTTGAAGCCTGGGTGAAGTTTATTTATTTTAAGGAGTTTCACGATATTGATTTGGGAATCGAAAAGGAATGCTTTTAAACTGTTTATAAATTTTCTTCGAGGGAAGAAGCGCTGATATCGCTGGCTCGATACTCGTTTTTAATGAATGCAGACACGTAACAAATTCTGCAAACTGACAGCAAAATCACATAAACTTGGCGAAACACGACCTGTTCGTGCAGATCAGAGCTGAAATCAACGGGCTTGCAGTTCGTTCTACCTTCTGCAAGTCGCAAAGAAACAATTAAGTACCCTCGCCGAAAATGGATCCAACCAGGAGTCACCCGGGAACCAATGATTCAGTCCAAAGGAATTTCTTACTCTAATTTCAAAATATTGTTCCAAATACAAAATACCACATCATACTAATACAAAATACAAAATACCACCGATTTCATCTTTTAAATACACTTCTGCATCCCTGTCGTTTCTGACACTTCTTTGGCTTTTTATTACGGGATTTAATGTGCATAGTATCCGAAGTCATCTTATTTGGGATATTATTCACAACCTCCAAAAGTGTTCAATCCGTCTTCTTTGGTACACAAACGTATGGAAAGGCTTCCATACCATCCAGTGTAAATAACCGACCATACGAAACTCCCAAAACTCCCTGGAGTCCCGCGTTGGGGAGGCTTTCCATCCATCCAAACTCTCTCCCTTCTCAAACGTTATTGTGGTGTTGGTTGGTTCGGGAGAAAGGTTGGATGACAGTCGTCCTTGGGTGAGATCGGGGTATGCGCTCTTGCGCGAGACTGATGAGCGAAGGATTTCGTCTCTTCGATTTCTCAATTCATCATGAGTAATGCATTCATTTGGATGGATGGATGATTTACGTGTCCTTTCCTCGTTCTCGGCATTGGATTTTTGCGCCGTCATGATTTCCATGAAATGGGGGAGGGGGGGGGGAGATCTGGATGGGTATAAATCCAAAATGTTTCTGAAGACATGTGCATGAGAATCGCAGCATGGCCGCTCCCTTGGGGAAATACATACATCGGTAAAGCGTTCAAGCATCACAGAAATGTGCGTTATTTGAATACATATTTATATATGTAAATTACGTTTGCATGATATGGGCTTTCGGCCAACCTTTGCGCCCGGCTTTCATACATCCGTAGAAGAGGTAAGGAAAACGAGGAAATTGCACTGAAATAATCTTTGATACGGTTCTGCTTTTCGCGACACGGTTTGCTTGCACGGATTCCACATCATCCTACGTCAGGGTATCATAAATCTCGTGCAGGCTGCTTTCCGCAGGGAATGGACTGCGAAAGGACTGCGGACTGGATGGGATTTTTGGGTTTGGAAACTGCCATTGATCCAGGCAACCGGGGTTAATTTTGGCGCAACCTGTGTAAATTAATTATGAACCTGGTGTTTTTGATAAGGGCACTTGCATTATTAATACTAGTACTTTCTAGGTTTGCATAACTTATTGCCCAAGCCCACATATCTCGCTGCATTGCGCAGGATAGGAGGTCCACTTCCTTCGGTAGAGAAAAGTATCAGCCTTCTCTCGACATAAGGAAACGGCAGACACAACCTGCGAACACGTCTTCTTCACTGAATAGTTTACTTGTTCTCGTACGTGGTTTTCAAAGGGAATATGAGCATATTTCTTGTCTTGACTCCATAATTCTCTCAGGAAGATGGGGGTGACAAATAAGGAAATGTAGAAGTTTATTTATAGCTACAATGAGGCAAGGCGAGACATTTGGGATGTACACAAATTTCCTGTGAGAGATGATTCCATGGGTAACGGGAGGACACTTCTATGTACTTTGAGAAATGTGAGAACACCGGGCTTCCATCTAGTGGCCTAGAGGAGAACTTGAAACGGAACCCTATAGGCCTATATGGTTCCGTATAAGCCCTATAGGGAACCCTATTGGTCCTATAGAGAATCCTATAGGTTTTATAGGGAACCCTATAGGTTCCATAAGGAACCATATAGGTCCCAAAGAGAACCCTATGGGGCTTTTATAAGGCATTTTCGTAAGGGTGACCATTCGAAAAGGTTGATGGATTTGGTCGATTATCTAAAATATGCCTCAAGTGATCACGAAGAAGCAGCCATCTCGTCCAGGTGCCTCCTCAGCGCGAGGACGAACTGTCTGTGCCTGGCCGCTGCGAACGTCTTCAGGATGCTCGTCGGGACGAACGGGACTTGGAAGTCCATCCCGTTGATGGATTGGAAGACGCTCTTCGTCTTGTCCGTTTTGTGCGGGGAAAATGCATACCCGCTCCCGATGTGCGCCACGCTCCTGGAACGGGATTAATTCGATTTGAATAGAAATTCTCTTGTTTATAAATGGCAGTTCCAATGTATTTGGGAGATAAGTGGTAAAATATAAATTTCTAAAACTTACGGTTCCTGTACTGTATTGGTACCAATCTTGGACCATTATTAAACTATTAAATTAAATTAGACCTGGAATAAGCTGCTTTGTCATTACTCCTGCACCATTTCTTTTGAATGAATTTACACAATTACATGGTAAGTCTCGCTATTTGACGAATACGTTACGTCAGTAACACTGGAACACTCTCAGTCAATTCTTTTTTTAACGGGAAAAAATGGTATTTGGCGTGAAGAAAGATGATGGTCTTTGTATATTTTTCAGAGAATATGGTCTTCAGGTCAAGAAAAATCATACACAATTTAAAGGGAAGTAGCAGAACGAAAACTGCGTTACGTTAGTAACTTACGGACCTCACGATCCCGTCTTTCGGCGGGAGGCCGGGCCAGGTGACATTGCAGAAGGGCCAGTAGATTTTCTCCCCGATCTTCTCGTGGCAGGTGACGGAGACGAAATCCCTCGCGGCGATCCAGCCGCCGAGCATCGGCTCCGTCGTCTCGTGCACAATCCGACATTTTTCGGAAATCCACTGCAAAGAAAGTCTTCGGGAGTAGCAGAAGGAGCAACTTTCTCATCGCGAAGTTTTGCGACAGTAAATTGCAAAAGGAAACGAACCTGAACGATTTCGTTCCTGCTGAAGTCTTTGTACCACTCCAAATTCTTTCCTGGAACTCCCCAGGATTTCCTGAATGCCCACTCGAAGTTGTAATTCAGCACTGCCTACACCACGGCGAGGGAAAAATAAAATTCTTCCATTACTGCCGGTCGAGATTCATCGCAACGATGAAGAAGGTGAAGATTCGCCAAGAGTCTCTGCGGTGACTTAACATAATTATGTTGTCCTTCACCCATAGGTTAAGCGAAAGTCGGCGGGTTACCTCCGTGTAGATGAAGTAGACGCCGAGACGCGGCTGGAACTGGGACCTGAGGACGATCCCGTCCCGCGGGTATTCCGCCTCCAGCGGCCACACGTCCGCCGAATCGAGGCGGGACCTCAGAGCCTCCAAGGCCCGCTCTCCCTCCCGGACGAATTCTGTCGTCTCCGGCTGCCGCTAAGGACAACTCGAGTGACACGCCAGCCGATTTCTGTGCTATCTGCGTGTCGCGCGTAGGAAGATCTTACCAGATCGTAGGCGGTCACTCCATTCGGTTGGTACTCGCGTCCGACTGTAAATTAAAGGCAACGAGCGGGATACAGCAGGAGACGAGCAAGAGACCATGAGGGAGACAGAAGAAACAGAAGAAAAAGAAAAAGTGGCTTGATCATCAGTTTCCAAGAGGCTTTTATATCCATAATGAACATGCATACTCTATCATGATTGCTTTACCCTCATGGAAATGTCCTATAGGAAACCTATAGTTATTTCTTATAGGAAACCTATAGTTATTTCTTATAGGAAACCTATAGACCTATAGGTTTTTAGGAACCCTATTGGTTCTATGAGGAACCCTATAGGTTCTATAGGGGGATCTATACGTTCTATAGGGAACTCAATAGGTTCAATGGAGGACTCTATAGGTCCCAAACTGAACTCTATAGGGCATATAGGATCCTATAGGATTCTTTTAGGTTCCTATAGGATTCCTATAGGATTGCTATATATTCCTAAAGGAATATATAGGAATCCTATAAGACATTTTCGTAAGGGTAGATGCGCACGAAGAGTGGCAGAAATGTGATTCACAGAGTTTGGAGGGGCAGTTTTGGTTCACGTTTCAACTGCGAATCTGATACAATCGTCTAGTGTAGGAGGGTGAATATACTGTCCCCAGACCGTATGCAACCCACGAGGATATTTAAAACGACTGGCAAGCTTTCGCCTTCTGCGACGGAATGCGACCCACGTGACACAGTGACAGGTCCGACACATTTCCCAGCGTGACCGAGTGGACAAGCCCTTAGGATCGAATGTTGCAGCTCGTTCCGACTTTCCAAGAAACTGCGAAGCGCAAAGGCAGCCATTAGGTAGACGGGAAGTAAATGTTTACATATGGTCCGGCGTTGTAAAGGGCTTTATTAGATTAGGTTGTGTTTCCTCGCGAGGCCCGCAGGTTTAGAGTGTCTTCATTGGAGATATTCATTGCGAAAGATTAAAGGATGTGCATGCCATTTTGTGGTGGCACTAAATTTCTTCTGGAATCTCCTGAACGTACTAAAATGCAGATTCATGCATGCCGTCACTTGGGTTATATGTTTTTTTTATTACAGCTCTGTGGCACTGTTGTCTAACGCAGAACCACCATGAATAAAATATATTTCATACATAAAGACCTGCTCCTCCCTTCCCCCTCCCCCGAACTGACCTCGCACCTCCCTGCCGCTCATGAAAGCGAGATCCCGGACGAAGAGCATTGTGGTGACGAGAAGGTCTTGGACGAGGAATCCCGTCGCACTGGCCCCGGCCAGGATCATTCTCGGTTCTGGACGATGCGCAACAGCTGCTCTGGCGGGCAACCCCTCCTCATCGACTCATTCCATTCGTTGAATTCGTTGGAGGATCTAGGGGAGGGATCCGTGAACGTGCTTGGCGAGCATGCCATGATGCTGCTTGCAAAATTCAAAATGACTTATGCGTCATGGTATCTAATTCCTTGTTCTTGAATGGTATTACGTAGCGGGTGCGAATTACCTGGTCTGTTTGGAAATGCAGATTATGTTTTAAATAATTATATATGTTGTTATGTAGTGTATCCCACCTATATCTGAATCACTTACCTTTTTTATTCACTGAAGTTCATTTATTCAACGTGAACTTACAAAGGGACACTACCCAAGTGATAATTTCAGATTTTCAGCAAACTTGGGTATTGGAAGGACTCTCAAAACGAAGTCAAACGGAGCCAAAACTTGCGGCTGAGAAACAGCTTTAGGCTTACAACTGGCTCTCTCAATTTTCAGTGATACATGATTATTATAGTCACGGCCCTATTTTCTTTGACTATAGCTTTCCAAGGAAAAGTCAGATTCAATTGATATTTGACAGAGAGGTTCAGCAGTGAAGGAGGTTCTTTTCAATGCTGCTGGGTGGCGCTGCATGCTGATAGAGGTCGACGATGTCGACAGCAGCGCCACCTACCTACTAGCTATGTCATTTTTTAGCCATTGGAAAGATATTAGTTTAGGCCTATGAATCTCTCTGCTAATTATCATCTGCATCCTAGAGTTTTTTCAAAAGATATGGTCAAACAAAGTTGGATTTTGACAATTGAACTATTTTTGGTCATAACTTTTTAAGGAAAAGTCAGGTGCAGCTGATACGAGGTATTTGACAGAGATGTTATTGAGTCTATGACCTATTCATTCCCTTGCCAGGCACATATTTATACCTATTGTATGGTGATTGCATACACGAAAGGTGAAATGTGAAGGAACACGAGGGCTCTGCTTACAGAGTTTCTTTGTTGGTAATTCCCCTAGTAACACATAACATGGAAACAACATTGATTCAACGCTGATTCAATATCCAGACGTTGAACCAACCTTGAATCAATGTTGATTCAGTGTTATGCCTTAGTAGGGACGCAGTAAGAGCACATCATCATGAGACGTTACTGCACTGCGAATTTCATATTCTCTTGGTGGGAGTGAAGTGAATGTATTCATTTTTGCAGGCAATTCCTATTCTCCGTCTCTTAACTTTGCATATGCTAACACAGCGCCACCTGTCAACAGGCAGAACCATGTGCTGGGTAAGGGGATGAATCAGTCATGGACCCATGAACATCTCTGTGAAGTATCAGCTGCATCTGACTTTTCCTTAAAAAGGTATGACCAAAAATAGTTCAATTGTCAAAATCCAACTTTGTTTGACCATATCTTTCGAAAGAACTCTAAGATGCAGATGATAATTAGCAGAGAGATCCATAGGCCTAAACTAATTTTTTTTCCAGTAGCTAAAAAATGACATAGCTAGTAGGTAGGTGGCGCTGCTGTCGACATCGTCGCCCTCTATCAGCATGCAGCGCCACCTAGCGGCATTGAAAAGAGCCTCCTTCTCTGCTGAACCTCTCTGTCAAATATCAATTGAATCTGACTTTTCCTTGGAAAGTTATAGTCTAAGAAAATAGGGCCGCGACTGTAATATTCATGTATCACTGAAAATTGAGAGAGCCAGTTGTAAGCCTAAACCTGTCTCTCAGCAGCAAGTTTTGGTGCCATTTGACTTCGTTTTGAGACCCGTTTCAATGACCAAACTTTAGTGAAAATCTGAAATTATCACTTGGCTAGTGTTCCTTGTTAAAATTTAATGTAATAGAAGCTTTAGAAATACGAGGACACATGAAAAAGTTCCAGGACTGGCCTTTGTACGCGAAATACACTGTACCCCATTCTTGGCAGCCACCTTCAACACGTTGTCTCGGCTGATTGGGGAGCGCCTGGGTCGACGGAGCTGCAGCCTTTCAGATGGAACTTCATCTGGGGAACAGCGTGAAGTCGCAAGTCGCAAGGTCTGGTTTCGCCAACGTTCCACACTTCTCTCGGCAAATGTTAGGAGAAGAGTATCGCAAGGTAAGGGAGCTATTTTGAAAGGGCAGCATGCTGAAACCTAATTTGTATGCCTAGTTTTCACGTATGAAGGTCAGTCCTGGAACTTGGCGTTGGGTCCTCGTATGATCCAACACCCAGAATAAACTTAACATTGCTCTCTGTTCTTAAGAATTTATTCATTCAAGTTTTGATTGAATCTGTTCCTTAATTCATCAATATTCCTTAACTGTGTGCAATCAACTTTGCTATTGAGAAAGCCCAATAGGAAAAAAAAATTATGGTTGCCAAGTCTTGGGAGCGTGCTTGCCAGGGGATAGCACAAGAATCTTGAAATGATTCTTTCACCAAAATGCTCTCTTTCCCAGATTCGATAGCCCTCGAGTTTTACCTCTGCACGTGGCCCTGGGTACAATAATTGATAGAAAGGCTTCCCTATCCGTCCAGTGCAGATACTCGACCGCACGAAAACGACTATTTATGTCGTGGCCGAGCCTCCACATTGAGGGGGTGCTCCATCCATCCAAGAATCTGCCCAGGAATGCTTTCAGCATTCCTGGGGAGAGAAGAATTTTTGGCTTGAACGACCTTGACGATTTTTTGAGGCATGCCGTCATGACTCTACAAGTGCCAATTATCGCCTTCTTTTTTCCTCTCAGTTTCATTCCCAATTTTCGTCGGGTAAAAACATCAGGAACACGTACCTCTCATGTTTTATTTTTCCCATGCAAATTTTTAATCTTTCAAGATAAATACTTGAATTCATTCGATCCCAAGTCATTTGACGAAGTATACGCGGTAACCTCTTCGGTTCTTCTAATGATTTTTTCGGCAATTGATATTCGGAATCGGAGTCGCCTCCACTTTTCCCCCCAAGTTTTCCATGGAATAGGCTTCAGAATTTCCGTCATTTTGGAGCCCTAATGAAGTTTCGTCGAAAATTCCATTTCACTAAAGCAGCCATGATGATGCATTTTGTGCTTTTTCGGCGTCCTTATGAATTCAATTCTATTTCATTAAGGGATTCATGAATAAAATTGCATCGTTTACTAGTGGTACGGTTTGAGCCTCACAAAATATAAATTCTATTGATAACAGAGGACTCCCAAGATTAAAACTGATTTACAGGTGATACCTGGAAGTCCACAGATATAATTGAACAGATTGATGCTCAGATATAAGGAAATTTATGATTCTATGGAAGGTATCGTAATTCGAAGAACGTGGTCAGCTAAATGGAATCACATGAAGAATACCCCAAATAAATGTTTAAGCAGCACATACCCCATACGGCTTATTTAGAAACAAAATAATGACAAATGGAACTTGGGCAAGAAGAGGAAACTCGGCAGATTACAAAGACTTGAAATTGTTATTCATCTGAGTTTAATACATATTAAGCATACAAAGGATATATCATAGTATATACGGGATAGGGGGACTTTGGTGTTTCTTGAACTCACTTGAAAGATTCCGATGGATACTCGAAATAGGTCGATGGTTTTTCGGTCGGATTTTCTTACCTCTGCCTAGAGCCACAGGCAGAAAAGGAGTCCGGATGGATTCAAGAGAAGAAAAGCATGCCTAACCGAGTGGGAAGGGGAGTCATCCCATGTCGCACACTCACGGTGAATTGATGTGGATTCAAGGTTATTGCGTGAACGCAGCTGACGTTGAAACCACCTTGACCTGGCAACATTAATTCTATATTGAAACTAGCGAGTTCCCTCAAAATTCAGAATTTCAGAATTGCGTAATGACGTGCCCATTGCTCGCTGCTTACATTGCTTAGCCATTTGGAAGCGGTCGCGAACGACGCAAGGAGGCAGACGAGCGCGAGAGTTCTTCAAAGGTTGGGAAGTTTTCCCCGTATCGCAGTCGCATTGGCAGGTGCGACTGCGATTAGAAGTATCATCTATGGGAGACGGGAGCTAGCAAGGAAAGAAAAGTGATCTGCGAATCGTGACTGTCGTTTTCTGCATTTCCCTGTCTTGCTCTATTCATAAGAGCTGATGTACCATGCTAGTCGTTCATGATTGGGCCTCCCCCACATTTAGGTGGATCATTTCCCGTGGCTGCGCCGACACCGAGAAGTTGCGTTTCAGATCCGAGTGGGAAACACTCTCGCGAGTGTTGCAAGGTAATATGCTGCTTTCAAACTATGTTGAATGACACTTTTTTTATTTGATTCATGGGCACCATGCTCGATTGACACGTTTGACAAAATGACATCGGCGCGCTCAGCGTTGCACATGTAGCGACCTGTCGCGATCGCAACATGTTGCCATCGGAATGCATCTTCGCCCTGATTCCCCCGAATCTCATTCACGGATGACTGGAAGGAAATACTCCACTAACTTTTTTGTTTTCTCTGCTCCTCAGAGGCGGAATTTCTTTTCATTTAAATTCCATTTTGTTGCAATTCCAGAATTACATTTAAAAGCGATAACTTAGTACCTACGGCTTTTTCTCATCTGATTCTAGTTTTTTTTCGGTTCCAGACCCGTGCAGCCATGGTAAACGACCAAGTCCAAGACCAAATCGACTCCATCATTTGGCGCACCACCATGAAGTCAATTAGTCGCTGTCGATCGAGGAGGCATAAATATTTTTCATACCGCCGAAATTCCCAGATTAAAAAAAAAAGAAGAGGGTCACGAAATGAATTTCCTGAGATAGGTGGCATGTAAAGGAACATGCCATTCGAATAATTTTTTAGCACGCGGTTTGGACACTCGAATAATGCCCTAGGTTTTCTTTTCTAGTCTCGAGGATTGTGCTCTTGCAGCTTTCACAATTTTTCATCGATGATACGCTGAAGATTTCATCGGAGTTTCGCGCAATGCTCATGTGCCATAGAGATCCCAAAAATGGGGGGAAAAAAGTGGAATGCTTCAGCTAATGGGGCACGAACGGCCTTAAATACTTATTGCTCTCTGTTCTTAACTGTAATGAAGCATTGCGATAAACAAAATGAATGAAATTTGGTTGACACAGTTTTGACGACTATCGTACTAAACACTAAATGATGAAGCAAGCTCCTGTAGCAAAAGACGATGGTTTTGACAATTCCATTCTTAAATATTTTGTTTAAGCTGGTTATATCAGTACCGGTGAAAGGTAATTTCAATTGTTAATTTGACGGATTCAGAGAAAGGTCGAAAACGCCAAGGGGAATATAGTAATTTTGCATCTAGTATGGAAGACAATTTCCCATGTATCTCATTGGAACAGGTCATCATCTCATGCCCATCTTGGCGGTATCGACTCGTTGAACAGGCCGACTTGACGGAGCAGAAGGGCGCCGTGGCAAAGGGGAACTCCTCCGTCCTTCCGATTCCTCCGTTCACCTTGAATGGTACACTCATGGTGATGGATGTCTGATTCACTGTCCTCTCCTCGTTCTTGGGAATGGATCGTCATGATAGGCATGGAGTGGAGAATAATCTGGAGAAGTATAAACCTGACATGCATATGGAGGCGTCTAAAAAGGGAAAAGCAGCCATGACCGCTTCTTAGGATATTCAGGGTGTTCATGAAGGCATATGCGACGCCTACCCAGCCAACCCATGTGGGTGGCCCATTCCAGGTGTCGTTGGAATCTCACTTGCACCAAGGGCGTGGTTCAATAAAAGATCAGTCCCTCTCTAAACCTGATAATATATTTAAAACTTTCAAAAGAGCTTTTGTAAAAGACAATAAAGCTTAGGCCTATAAAAGAAAAATAGTTTAAAGGGGCCACTCAAAGGGGGGGTAACAACATATAACGAGCCAATAGCCACAAGGCCAAGGATATAAAATATAAAAAGGGAAAAGGAAATAAAATACAGATAAAGAAGCGGCAAGGCAGCGGCGTGTAGGTGGGGAGAAGCAATCACAGTCCAATCACAGTCTCTTCACAGTCTCATCACAGTCCCACGCGTTGGAAGGAGGCGAATCCTGATCCAGGAGGCGAACGGCAATCACGGGGCTCCAAATCCGGTCCCGGTCAATGCAACGGGCTGCAACACGACCCTCGCCGAGCCGACCTGCCCTCCGCCATGCACACGCAGCACGCTTCACGGGAATCACGGGGCTCCAAATCCGGTCTCGGTCAAAGCAACGGCCTGCAACACGACCTCGCCGAGCCGACCTGCCCTCCGCCATGCACACGCAGCACGCTTCCCCTGTCCCTTTCCTCGCTCCCGGCCATGCCGGCACTCCCCACAGTGTTGCCCCGCTCTCAGGGACCAAAAGCCACTCAAACACTACACAAACACATTCTCCTTCAACAACATCCAAATTCAAACACAGCACTGTAAATGGAATTCTTGCGAGTGCTCTCTACGAGAGAAGAATAAAGCCCTAAATCTTCCGCCCAGGGTATCGAGTACTTGATGAATATTAATATCACGCAACATCTGGCTACTTTAGCACTCGAACAACTCCAAACATTTTCTGGAGTTGTTCCAAAACCGCCCCAAAACCGCCCCAAACTCATATTCTCCCGCGAAGTTTCATTATTAATTCGGAATAACGCGGTTCTATAGCTTGCCGCGTTCTAGTTTGCAATCGTAGACATGCACAACGCATGTGTTTTGAGAGAAAGTTTTGGTAATACGAGGCGATTCAGTTTTGAGTTCTTGGCAACAAAAGTGAAACGACCTTGGGAAGTAATGATGTCATGGAACACCATCATTAACGCAAGTATGGACAGTATCTTATGATAAATAGAGCAGACAGTGCAAAACATAGGTAACATTTACGTCTTTTTTAAGACATTCAAGACAAGTCATTACATTGTACAATGATCCAGCTGAGAACTGCTGCCGCGAAACCCACATTGGGTGAATGACTGGTACTCTTCCGAAGGGACGACATGACTCCGCCCATCGTGGACCAATTGGCAGGAGCGGTCGCGCTCCCTGTGGTTGAAGGCGCGGCAGGGCCGAGCGGGGTCGACCTTCGCGCAGCGGCGACTGCACCCCGCGAGGTCCAGCCCAAGGACTTCCGTGGAGACGTTTCCGTTGGGTGGACGGCGTGGTACACGTAGATGTGGGAGGGGAGACGATCCACTGGAGCAGGGTCACGACCAAGGCGAACTCCATTTTTCTGTACAACGTCAAATTAAGATATAGGCAATAAAGTTTTACTAATGAGTCAACACCTTGAAATTAAAAAATCGCTCTGTACGAGGTGACAAACGTAGATCATGATCACGCAACTCCAGTCCTATTATGACCTTGACACCACTCATTCTTCGAATGTCCAGTTAGTTAACACGACCAGAATGTTGTGTTCTGAGGAAATCATCACGGAATGCTCGAATTGCTGTCAAACAGGGTATGACATGTCGAAAGAGGACAGCTTTGCAGTCTTCCTTCAATCTCCCCAATATATATGTATTAATGTTTGTGTATTTATTTTTTAGTACTCACTCACTTCCTCCATATCTGATGAGGGCGCTGCTGTATACCGGAATTTTCATCTTATCGCGGCATTCGGTTCTCATGCAATCGTACTGACCCTTTCTACAATTTTCGGTATTTCCGCCACGGTATGGAAACCGTATGATACCGCCTCTCACCAAATCACCGCCACGGTGCCATATCTGAAGAACCATTCATAATTTTAAAAAAGTCAATATTTCTCATCTCTATCCACTTCCACCGCCCGGGGAGCACCGAAGCCATCCTGGAAATAACTGGAGTGTATTTTAATCAGACTGAAGTATCAATATCTGCCATTCGTGGGTTCGATTTGCGCCTTGCCGGCGCCCTTCGGCCTGCGTGTCTCAGCACGCAATATCTTCTACATGTCTTCTGAAGATGTGACCACATTGGAGACACGTCGTAAAACCCAAACCGGGCTCATGTGCTTTAAGATATTTTTTGAAACCTATGAAATGTGTGACCATGCACAAGTATGCAATGGTTTCACTTCCCTAATGTTTTACCTAATGTCCCTAATTCCCATATATCCTATAAATGTTTCAATTTTTTTGAGCTCCATTAAGTCAGTCCTCCCTGAAACCTTAATCGCGGTAGTAATCTTGGGCATACCTACATAGTCCATCAATATGGGATGAAAGGAACGAATCCCTATGCGCTTCAATCTGATGAGATAAATACAGATGTGCGACGATCGACGCCATCACAAGAGAAAGACTCATTATCTTATTGGAGCTTTTTCTCGGAGTTACTTTATAGTAATTGTAGTAACCCCTTCCCCAACTCCTCCACGTCGGTATATTGTGGTTCTCAGTTAAGGAATTCCAACGAAGGATTTTAGCGCATACCGCAACGCTCTAGATCAGTTTTTTTAGCTAAAGCCGATACAATACAAAGCACCAAAGAACGCCACAAGAAGGCAGAGGAAGGTATAAGCAACCTGATGGATCGAGTTGCACTGGAGGAGCTGATTGGGGCCCACGACTCGGCTGACGAATTGGGGGGCTTCACCCTTTCCGGGATTTCCAGGGGACCGTGATTACTTGAGCGTGGAGATGGGCGAGGTTAGAGGGACAAAATGATGCCGGGGAATGTTTGCCGGAGCCTGCGTTTA